AATATAATTTTTAAAAAATTAAAAAATTAAAAAAAAAAAACCACCAAACATTAATTGAATAGGTGGCAAGCAACTTCCACCCACCCATAAAGCAGGTTCATATGTTACAAGTTTTATGGACTTTTTAATTTGTATATTTAATAATTATTATTAAAATAATTTAATAGTTATTTCTTTTTGTTAAAATTAAAAAATTTTAAATTTGAATCACATGATATATAAGTAAAGTAAAATAAAAAATAAGAGATGATTATTTTTTATTGTGTAATTAAGATAAATAAATAAATATTATATTTAAATTAAATTTTTAAATTTAATAATTTATCTTTAAATTTTAATATTTAAATTTAATTAATCAAAAATTTTAATTCTCCTTACTTGCAAAAATCTCCTATAATTGTTCAATATTAAAAAGGCAAATATATTAAATTCTTATTAAGTAAAGTTATTTAAAAGGGAATTGTAATGTTATATTTCTTTGTGTTAAATATTATTAAGTGGAAAAATTTCACGTTGAGTATAAAAATAAGAAAACTTGTGGGTTAAATACAAAAAGAGCTACTCCACCTATTGCCAATTGATTTTAGGTTGGATATAAAGCTTGTGTTGAGCCCACATGCAGGATTTTTAATATGGTATCAAAGCCAAGTTATTATATTTTTATTTTATTAAATAAAAAATTAAATTTATTAAAAATGAACAAAGAATGTTTGAACTTTTTTGACTTTTATGTGATTTAATAACTAAAAAGTGTATTAATGACATGCTTAATATGTGCTCAAAATTATAGATTAAAAAAAATCTTTTTAATTTTTATGTTAGGAAAATTTTATGAACAATTGAAAACATAGAATTCAAATGAAATATATTTGAGTTTAAAATTTAAAATTATTCTTTTATATATATTTTTTTATTTTTTTTAAGGAGGTAAATATTTTTTTATTTAAATTCTATATTTATTAATTTTTTACTTTAATGATTATCTATTACATAAAGTTATCACTATTTTGAGGGAAACAAAGGAAAACAATGTAAATGAAATGATATTGTATCCTTTCATTTCCTCAACTCCTCTTCTCTCGTTTAGATAAGTGAAAAACTTAAAATAAAAAATAAAGGACTTCTCTCCTTTCTCATTCTCTTTAATTTTTTAAAAATCAAATAGAAGAATTATTTTCTCCTTCCTCCCCCTCAAACCAAACGTACCTAAGGTACACATAAATTTTCTTTAAAATCCTTAATTTAGAAAAAAAAATTTTAAATCAACAATTATAGGAGGACAAAGGGAGTAATATTTAATTAAATTTTACAAGATTTTTTGAATTTGAAATTAGTCTAGAATTGAGTTCTAAATTTCTAATAAGAGTTTAGTTGAGTGAGCACATGTTGAGTAGAAAAATTTTACATAAAAAATATAACAAAGAAATATATAATTTAAATATAAAAAGGCTTATCCACTTATTAGCAATTAATTTAGGTTGTGCAAGCATTGTTTTAAACTCACACATAAATTTTCATATGGTATTAGAGTAGGGTATGTTTTTTAAATATAAGAAAGTTATTTTGTTTATTACCAAATTCACACATAAAATTTAAACTTTTCATAGCATTAACTAATTTAAAAACTTTAATATAAAGTTAATGTCAAAAGTTTAAATTCTTGCATAGCAATAACTAATTTTCATATGTCAAG